CTGCTTCTGCTAGAACGCCCACTAGGGGACATCCCAGGCTACTAGAATAGAAGGATTAGAAGCACAAAATAATCTAATAATCTTAATCTTTGTTGTTTTTTGCCCAGGCAATGCTGAGCTCATCTGCTGGTCATCACATAAAAGCAATTATTCTCTCATTTTTACAAGGTTTTTTTTTTTATTTAAATAAGTTTTATATGAAGTCTTTTGGACGTTAAGGTTAGCAACTTCAATCACAAGTGGGACCATTATAACCTGTCTAATATGGATCACTTTTCAAATTTTAACATAGATCAGTATTAATTATTAGTCATTGACCATCCTCTCTTCTGGGAGGAGGTCAATGACTACTTTTGATTGAATTACTTCAAACCGCTTCTGAAACATTCCCTTCCTCCTATTGGATGAAGTGGCATGGTGGCATTCGAATAGGAAAATTACATAATATGAGGTTACAACCTGAAAAAATATGTTTTAAGTGGTTTTTGAGAATGCTGAGTTTAAATATTTGATCTGTTTTTTGCAAAATTTGATTGGTTGGCAAATTACTGTTGATATTCGGCTGTTAATGGCACAATTTCTTGGAGTTTAACATTAAGAAAAAATATGACATCTTAAAAAATTTAAAATATCATATTTTCAATTGGTGTCTACTTGACCAATTTTGTACCATCCAAGTATCACGATAAATGTAATGATGATACATTAAAATAACCAAACTCTTTATATGGTTTTCATTTTAATGTTTGACATATTATAGTACTTGATTTATGTAATAAGAAAAGCTATTTTACATAAGGGTTTGTCATACCAAGTGACTAATCTAACAAATTTTAAAATTCCTAATTCCTCTACTACACACAATTTAAAAAAAATTTTAAAATGTGTTTGATTGGGCACTCGGTGTGATAAACTCTTATGTAAGATAACCTTTGTAATTATAAATCAAATCAGGGGCGGACTAAGGCCTAGGCAACCTAGGCACGTGCCTACGGCCCGTAATTTTTGGGGCCCCAAAAATTAGGTTTTTAATTTTTTAATTTTAAAAATAGGCCCAGAATTACAATGTTGCCTAGGGCCCGCTTTAGCCTTAGTCCGTCTCTGAATCAAATACTACAACATAATATAATAGAAGGGTTAGAAGTACAAAATAATCTAATAATCTTAATCTTTGCTGTTATTTTTTGCCCAAGCAATGCACCTGTTAGTTATATTTATTTCCATTATATCTTGTGATTTTGATCCGGTTAGGTAAAAATAATTTTTAAAACTATTTTTTCATTAAAATAATTACTAAGATTAATTATTCTCCTAAGAATTATTAATAATATATATTGTAAAAAATTGTAAATTGGTAAATACATAAATACTGTATATTCATTATTGGAAAAAACTGTAGACCAGGGGTTGCCAAAGTGGTTGATATAACATTATTGGGGAGATGGATGAAAAGACTAAAACTTACACATTTTGAACTGAATATTGCTAATCTTGCTAAGGATTATCAAGCTTATCCGTCTCATTAATTGTNCCTTACACTAATTACAGTTTGATTATGAACAGTATTTAATTTTTTGGCTGCATTTGTAGCATTCTCATCACTTAAAAATAAAAAGTATAAAACATGTCTCTTATATTCATCTGTTACTTCCATTTTAATGAAAATAAACAACTGAAATGTTCCCAATTCTGAACAGTATTATATGAATGAGATCCAATTTAACACTTCAGTGTAAAAAGTATCACATTAGACTGGCATTTTTAACAGCAAAACAAGATTTTTCTCAAGGTCATAAAATACTCATGAACTTATGGACTGACCTGAAACTTCCCATGTAGTTTATACAATCTGTTGCAAAAATATACACTTTATCTACTTTATAAAGCTGAAAAAAATGGATTCTTTTTTTCTGTCACTGTATATCAAAAATGGCCACTAGGGCACCCCTAGCTAATTATTTAAATTAACAATAAATTCAGGATATTATTATTTGATGTGATTTTTTGCATTTTTCACTACATTTTAGTAGGGTACGCCATGAGAAATTCAGTATATTATTATTTTTATTTATAATAGAAATTTATTATTTATACCACAGAATGACACTGCTTCTGCTAGAACGCCCACTAGGGGACATCCCAGGCTACTAGAATAGAAGGATTAGAAGCACAAAATAATCTAATAATCTTAATCTTTGTTGTTTTTTGCCCAGGCAATGCTGAGCTCATCTGCTGGTCATCACATAAAAGCAATTATTCTCTCATTTTTACAAGGTTTTTTTTTTTATTTAAATAAGTTTTATATGAAGTCTTTTGGACGTTAAGGTTAGCAACTTCAATCACAAGTGGGACCATTATAACCTGTCTAATATGGATCACTTTTCAAATTTTAACATAGATCAGTATTAATTATTAGTCATTGACCATCCTCTCTTCTGGGAGGAGGTCAATGACTACTTTTGATTGAATTACTTCAAACCGCTTCTGAAACATTCCCTTCCTCCTATTGGATGAAGTGGCATGGTGGCATTCGAATAGGAAAATTACATAATATGAGGTTACAACCTGAAAAAATATGTTTTAAGTGGTTTTTGAGAATGCTGAGTTTAAATATTTGATCTGTTTTTTGCAAAATTTGATTGGTTGGCAAATTACTGTTGATATTCGGCTGTTAATGGCACAATTTCTTGGAGTTTAACATTAAGAAAAAATATGACATCTTAAAAAATTTAAAATATCATATTTTCAATTGGTGTCTACTTGACCAATTTTGTACCATCCAAGTATCACGATAAATGTAATGATGATACATTAAAATAACCAAACTCTTTATATGGTTTTCATTTTAATGTTTGACATATTATAGTACTTGATTTATGTAATAAGAAAAGCTATTTTACATAAGGGTTTGTCATACCAAGTGACTAATCTAACAAATTTTAAAATTCCTAATTCCTCTACTACACACAATTTAAAAAAAATTTTAAAATGTGTTTGATTGGGCACTCGGTGTGATAAACTCTTATGTAAGATAACCTTTGTAATTATAAATCAAATCAGGGGCGGACTAAGGCCTAGGCAACCTAGGCACGTGCCTACGGCCCGTAATTTTTGGGGCCCCAAAAATTAGGTTTTTAATTTTTTAATTTTAAAAATAGGCCCAGAATTACAATGTTGCCTAGGGCCCGCTTTGGCCTTAGTCCGTCTCTGAATCAAATACTACAACATAATATAATAGAAGGGTTAGAAGTACAAAATAATCTAATAATCTTAATCTTTGCTGTTATTTTTTGCCCAAGCAATGCACCTGTTAGTTATATTTATTTCTATTATATCTTGTGATTTTGATCCGGTTAGGTAAAAATAATTTTTAAAACTATTTTTTCATTAAAATAATTACTAAGATTAATTATTCTCCTAAGAATTATTAATAATATATATTGTAAAAAATTGTAAATTGGTAAATACATAAATACTGTATATTCATTATTGGAAAAAACTGTAGACCAGGGGTTGCCAAAGTGGTTGATATAACATTATTGGGGAGATGGATGAAAAGACTAAAACTTACACATTTTGAACTGAATATTGCTAATCTTGCTAAGGATTATCAAGCTTATCCGTCTCATTAATTGTCAGTTACAAAAATTATTATTAACTTATGTACAATAAATGTAAAAAATGTAAAACTAAAAGATATATATTAAAATAATAAGAGCTTTTTTTTGCTTGTAACACAAACTTTTTGGTGGGGGTCGATGTGAGGTTTCAAAAAGTTGTAGGGGGTCGATGATCAAAAGAGTATGGCAGCCCATGATGTAGACCTGTAAATTCTATCTATCATCCATCTGTCTGTGCTTCCTTAATTTTGACAATGGAGTTAGATAAGATGAAAGCAGAGACTGGAAGTCATGTTATTTCAATTCAAAAATTTTCCCCTGAAAGGAGTTAGATTGATGACTGGCATGACTCTACTGCTAACAGGAAAAGTATGCTGTACAAGGGCAAGACATTACTAATTTGAGATGAAGGTCATACTGTATTCACTCGCGTATAAGACGATCTCACATATAGTACAAGGTGTGTCTTTAGAGATCAAAATAAAAAAAATTAGATTTATTAATACAATTCTAATTTTATTTCATTTAATCAGAAATAAAATATTATCAAATACGTGATGAAAACCAAAACAGTATAATGTGCATGACTGGAAAAGTTTATTTTTAATGATTCAGAATGTGCTAATATTCATTAAAAATAACAACTTCACTAATATGAATTAACTATATTTATAATCATTGCCAAGTGACCTGTATTTCATTAATGATTTTATAAATAACGAGGAACTATTTTCTGCGGACGAATGAGATGCAACACGCTTTTTAATTGATAGACATAGAATTAAACCAATAAACAAAGGGGGCATGTCTTAATTTGTATACAGTCAGTGCCAATTTATGATAAATAGACTGTAGATCTATAATGGCGGCATAAACTATACACAGTTCACAGAAATTATTGCAAAAATGCAAAGAATCCTTCACTTGCGCATATAGGATGACCTAGGTTTTTGAAGCAGTGAAAAATGAATAAAAACCTCATCTTATATGTGAGTAAATATGGTATATTTTAATTAAATAAATTAAAAATGTGATTAAAAATTGCAGCCTGGCATTGTGACAATGTCACAATAAATAACTACTCATTCATTTATATTATTAAATATGTTTATTTTAATAATATAAATAAAATTCAAGTCAAGTCAATAACATTCCATGAATATAGAAATTGATTTTGTGAAATGAAACAAACTCTACAAAGGAGCTCTAGTTTAGATATACTGCATGTGATGATTTTTATATATTGTACTGATATGTTAATGCAAATTAAATTATCTTTTAATTGATATTTGTATTAATTATTATTGTGGCAACTGCTTATCACATCATCATCATTAAGGTTCTCACAATATAGAAAATTGTTGAAAAACCTGCTTAGATATATGCTTTATGGCTATAACTGTACATCAATTTCAAAATACTTACTGAATTATACAATTCCTCCAATCGAGAAATGGTCAAAAAGTTTTGGCTATAACTGTATATCAATTTCAAAATACTTACTGAATTATACAATTCCTCCAATCGAGAAATGGTCAAAAAGTTTTGCATGCTTACTCCATTTTCTAACAAAACTTTAACAAAATCAACTCTCCCTAATATCAAAGCATTCATCATAGCTTGATTCAGAGAACCTGCCTTTAAAAATAAACAATTTTTAATAACTTATATTGAATCTTTAGTTGAGTTTAATTAAAATAGTATTTTTAATTTTATTTATAAACTGAAAACTTACAGGCCATTCTTGACCATAAATAAAAATTTCTTTTCTGGCTATATCAACTCTATTCCAAGTTAAGGCTAATTGAAGTTGATCTGGTGCTGGTAAGTGTTGACCTAATTTTTCAATACAAAATATTATAAGCAATTTAATTTTTTACATCATAAATAATTTTAAATTCTTTTCAATATTATTTGTAATTGCAACTTAGCACATTCACTGTAATTTGCTTAATAGATACTTTATTTCACAAAACGACTTCTAATAACTTAACACTGCGTTGAGTAATAACAATCCAACATTGGGGGCACCTGCATCAACTTTAAAGACAGAGAAATGATCGCGCAGGTGTGGAGGTACTTGTTTGAAGAATTCAAACTGGAACAAGCAGAGGAGTGAAACATGATACATGCAATTATTTACATCTCGGGTGTCATTGTTCCAACGGTCAAGGGGAGACATCATTTAGTCACCACCTGAAGCAGACCTTGATGGAAATCGAAAACGTTCATGAAGTTTGTTACGGAGACAACACTGTTATAAAAAGGTTTCGTGGATTCTCATACTTATACATTTAATTCTATTTAGATCTTTTTTATTTTTTAAGTTATTATTGTTTCTATGGTTTATTATAATTTTTGAGACAAGACAGTCTTTGAGTTCTGTGTACATACAATAGATTTCTAATGTTTAGAGCTGCTAATGCAGATATACAGTCGACCCCCCTATAATTACGATTCCTATAAAACTACGAAAAAATTGTGACCGGTATCCGTAAAAAACAGTAAAAACCCCCTATAATTACCTCAAACGTCATCGGGCAGCCGAACTACTTTCCCGCCGTCCGTAGCGCCACGCTACGGAGAGATTTCTATCGTCTGGACAGTATTATATAAATTATATATAAATTAGGTACTGTACATATAATTATATATTAATTATATATAAATTAGGTACTGTATATATAATTATATATTAACTTAATTTATTGTAACTTTGTTATAATTATACAGTATATATATTTTCCGCCGCGTAGCGCCACGCTACGGAGAGTTTAGGCTAACTATCGTCTGTACAGTATGTAAATTAGGTACCGTAAGTCTAATACAGTACTGTAATTTTATACATTTCTTGTGAAAGAAACATTTCTTATTCAACGGCGATTAAAATTATTTATATTAATGATGTCTCCGAAGTTCAAGGAACTATTCGCAGAAAAATAAGTTATTAGAAATCGGCCGCGGTTTGCTGAGCTGTTCCGCGACGAAAACAAGCTTGAGCAATGGCGATGTCGAATGGTGCACACTCGGTAAGTAATCCTACAATTTTTTGTTTATAGCGTAGTTTATACGGATTATTTCCAAAAAAAATATACGTATTTTGGAAATGTTGAGTCGGATTAGTCTAGAATCGATTAATTTTATGGAAGAAAACCTTTCAATCAGCCGTAGTCCGTAAACTTGACACGTGTCGGGCTGTTATTGGAAGGACTCGTAAGAAATTGGATTCCTAAAGAATGGAACGTATCTATATCTTATAGGGGGGTCGACTGTACTTGCAATATTTTAAAAAAAATATAAGTAGATAATGTATAAAGTCAACTAAAATATTATAATATGAAATTAATACTGAACAATAGATATATAGAACATTTTATTAAAGAATGAATCTTATAAGAACTAAAACATGTCAGAAAAAATTATATCAGTTTATGATAAGAAATTTCCAAAAATGGATATGGGTATATCTAATTGTGCCATACCAAGTTTGACTAATCAGAAGGAGCACTGAAAATATTATAGGATTGGATCTGGAGTTGACTGATGATGGCTTATACAAAGTTTGGATAAAAAACAGAAAAATCTCTTCTCTTTTCTCAAGAAACTATATCCAAGAATATCCTAAGAACTTTTTAAAAATGGAAGACATCCTTGACAAAGAGTACTCAACTAAGGTCAACAATCATAATTCCACTTGTAGTGGGCAAGGATTTGTCAAGTGTCAATTTGCATGAAAAAGTGCACAACAAATACGTACAAATGTGAAAACACACGTTTGTGTGTTTCTGGATGCCATAATTCAAACTCTTGTGCTAATAAGTAAGTCTTAGAATAAGATAGTTTTTTAGTAATATACTGAATTTTTGTTTCCTTTTACTGATATAATTCAATTCTTATAAGTAAGGTTCATTTTCCAATAGAGTGTTGTACAAAACACTCTTATATTTTTATCTCATACCTATTCAGCCTAATAAAGTAAGCAACATCCAAACAAAAATATCAAATTCATACATCATCTTGACCTCCTTAGGTAATCTTAAGTTTACCGAACTTGTTTTCAGATAAAGTTTGAAAAAAAAAACTCAATTTCAGACAATGGATAAAATACTGTTGGAAATCTAAACTTTGTGTAGGTAATCCTAGGATTGCTGATCCTTCAGACTTTGCCCTGGTAACATAACATATATATATAAGGTATCCCAATAAGTTCCAAGAAGGATTTCTTTTTACAAAAATAAGCTGCTTAGGAAATATAATGGTAAGTGCCATCACCATGTATTCTATTGTGTGATACTTGGCCACTATTGCCACTTTGTGTAGCACTACAATATAAACGAGGTATAATTTGTCAATTTACTCAATTGATGGCAAGGGAAGACTTGGCAGTAAATGCCAGTGGTTTTTTGTAGCAGAAACATAATGATAAGTGACACATAAATTAGCTGCCACCAAGAAGTATCCACTTGCACATCCCGTGATTTACAAGAAGTTGATGTTTTCAGTGATCTGGACAACAACAAGTGTCCAGAATACATTCTTCATGGCTCTAATGACTCAGAGTTATCTGAATTGGCATTTCTATAACACTTTCCATATTTCACAAAGATAATGGTAAGTGCATGTACAGTATATACCATTTTGTTCCCAAAGTACCAGCATTTGCAGGTTATAGGCCTAGTTAATTTATTTATTTAACTATATTTGGCTTAGAGGTGTGTGTAATAATGATACTATTACAAGTTATTTTATAACTTAATTATACAGGTAACCAGGGACAGAGAAACAATAAGTAATAAGAGTCCTGCTACTGGAAACAAAAACAATATTGAAGATGCAGAAGAAGCAAAGAGGCCTTCTTGTAAAAGACTCAGACATTCTACACAATGTAAAATAAGACAGGTGCAAGATATACAGTCTAAGACAGTGGTCTGACATCATTAAAAATCAGCAAAGAAGAATCCATTTATTCTATATTATATGAATAGGGAGTATTTCTTCCAAATACATCACCTAAAAGAAGCATATTTCTTTAGGAAAAAGGCTATTGATGACCTAATGGTGAACCTAAGGGTGCATGTTGGTTAAATGTCACTTCAGAAAGTTCATCATAGTTATTCATCAATCAGACATTCTGTAATGATATCTGACATGAAGTGAATCTCAGAAAACATGGGAGGCAAAGTCCAATTCCTCTTCATCAGCTAAAATATGATGGACCAAAGCCAGTTGACAGAAACAAAGTTTCTGATGCCTTTCTCTTCTGGAATATATTCCTCATACATTCCACAGGTTCTTTATATAACTTAAACCAATACATTTACATGAGGAACTTGTGTTTGTTTATTCAACAATGATGGTATCTTACAATGATAATGCTTGCATTTCTGTAATATAATGGTATCCACTACACTCCTTCAATTTTTGTAAGATATTTCAGGTGTGATCTTTTGCTTATTGTTCCAATTATGTCATTATGAAACTAAATTGACTGTAAAATACTTTCAGAAAAAGTTTGATGGTGGAATAAAATTATTCAGATTTAAGGTTCAATCACAATTTATTTTTGCAATATACACTTACATTTTCCTTTTCTTGAAACTGAAAACTGAGTTGAAGGAAAAACTTTTGAAAATGTAGAAGCTATACAAAAAAATGTGACAAGGACTCTCTGAATCTCATTCAAAAAACACAATTTTTTGGTGAAATGACTTTGTTGACTAACAGAGACAAGATGACCCCATAGCTTTGCCTCTGACAGTAGTATTATAGTATATTGTATATATAAAGTATATGTTAAAATAAATTTATTATGTTAAATAACCTTTCAGAAGAGCAGTGAGAACAGCTTCATCCAGTTCTTGACAGGGACCTTCTCCCATACGAAAAACTGTTATCTAATAATAAATAAATTGAAAAGGTAAAAGATTATTATTTAAAATTTAAATATTTAAAAAAATATTTTTAAAAATTAAATTACCAAATCTTTATGTTGAACACATTGTACAAGTTCTATGTGGAGTTGTTCAGCTTGCTCACGAGATAGTTTAAATGTTTTCTCAATAGTAGCAAGTAATTGTTCCCGTACACTTTCCAACACAGCATTACTAAAACATTTATATTGTTATTAGAACATAATGATTTATTTTTCATAGTTAAATTTAATTTATTAATATATTATTCAAATATACATTAGTATGAAATCAAGAAATTATAACAAAATTATACAAAATTCACTTTTGAACAAAAAATGAATTATGAATATATATGTAACCTTTTGAAAAAACAAAGTTTATATGAGGAGCATTCAGAAAGTAAAGAATGTTTGGTTATAAAAAAGGAAAAAAACAGTAATGATAGGAAAAAAGTTTTATTAAGTAATTAGTACAAGACCAATTACTTTTCTACATAGTCACCATTTCAATTATAGTACTTGTTGTAGCACAACACTAGTTTTTAGATTCCTTTATGTTAGTCTTCCACTGTCAGTTCTTTCAGCCAGTTAGTGACAACTTCTTTCACCTCTCATCTATTCAAAAAGGTTCCAAATACACCCAAAAACTCTTTCAGCTTGGGAAAGAGGTGAAAGTCACTGGGGCCAAGTCAGGACTGTATGGTGGATGATAGAAAATGTTCCAGCCAAATTTCTGAAGCACAGCTTGAGTGACTTGCTTCATTCATAATGTGATCACCATACACTTCTGTAATTTGTTTATGAATTTCTACAGGACAAACTTTCTTTGCATTTAGAAAATGAATAACACTACAATTTGCCTTTGGCAGGACTTTTGATTTTTGTACACATTTTAACCGTTGAGAAAACAGTAATAATAAGCTTGCTATTATCAAAATGCTACACATGCTAAGCTAACATATCAGAGAACAAATTTAACTTGAATCGGTGGAGGTAATTTAAAGTAGAATATTTCAAAGACAAGAGATTCTGTTAAACATATAACTGCTAAAGGTTGGAAGTAGGTAAATATTGTCAAAACCCTCAATATTTCACAATCATCAGTGTCAAAGCTTATGCAAACAACAGAGGAAAATAATGAAAAAAATTCAGGCTGCAAAGTGAAAAACTTCAGAAAGGCATTGGCAAAAATTACAGTTTAAAACAGGCTGATGTCAATTGTAAGTTATGCAAAGTGTGAAACAATGCACAAGCTAATATCTCATAGCATTGATCAGTGGTCTCCAAAGTGGGGTTCACATACCCCAAGGGAAATGCAAAGTGATACTTGGGGGTACGCCAAGTTTCCCTTCAAAATACTGTATGTGTGTCCTGTCTGCAGTGCCTTGTCTAATCTTACAGTCATCGTCTCGAAGAAGTAGGCTCATGATCACTTGTGATCATATAAGGAAAAATTTCAAATTGGGGGTAGTGGGAAATTTAGCAGGCATTATATTATATTATAGGGGTACAACTTATAATTATTTTTCTCTTAGGGGTATGTGATCAAAAAAGTTTGGAGTTCACTGGCATAGATTATGGGAATTGGGATTCCAATCTCACATTCCAGCCATTAAACCACAATTCAATTCTGTAAGCAAAAAAGATGGCCACAATGCTGTGAGCAGAGAACACCGGAAAGTTGAAAGTTGGTTCAACCAGGGCTACTTTTCAGCTGGAATGAACTACACAATCAGATAGCATGAAAAAATATTGGTAGCTGGTAAATGGTACCGGCAGTTGTTGTTTAGTAAAAACAATATTGCACATTCAGTTACCATACAGTATATGCATAGTGGCAGTCATTTTTTTTAGAAATCAAAGTTGGATGAATCAAAGTTTGTTATCTCCTTTGGTGACATGGACCTCATGTATGATGAAGAAAGCATGAAACCTATAGTTCCACCTGTTGCAAGTAAAGTTTAAAATTTTCACAAAGTATCATGGTGTGGGGTGCGTACGTGCTGAAGAGTAGGGGAATTATGCATAGTCAATATCACTGTGAATTATCAAGTGTATGAAGAAATTGTCAAAATGTTCATGATACTATCATCAGAAAACTTTGTTGGAAGTGACAAATTTGTTTTTAAATACAATCTTACTCAATCACACAAATCAACATCAACCATTGCTTAGGTTAATAATAATAAAAATTCAAGTTTTACTCTGGTCTGCAAATTCCCAGATGCAAATCCCATAGAGAATTTCTATAATATTGCAAAGAAAGAAACTGAATGAACTGAAACCCCAGACATTGCAGGACCTAAAAAACAGGCTTGGAGCCTCAGGATACCCAATGACTGCCATTGACTTGTATAATTCATACCATAATTAAATCCTTAGGGAGTCCTTACTAAATACTGACTGTATCCAAATATTATGTTGTTTGAAATAAAACAGTTCCAACTGATTTCCATTCTTATTCCTAATATTTTGAAACACAAAAGTGCATATTCTGTTTTTTTTTTCTTTTTTTTTTTAGAAAGAACAGTATTATTCTATGTGTGATTAATTTTTCAAAGGATCACTTTGTATTTCATTATATAATTATGTTCTTCTATATAGTGTCCATAGCTGTATTTGCAAGACATGATTTTTCAGCTATCATATTTCTGTAGAAAATGCATAACAATATCTATATTTATAGATATAATCTAAATTTTTGACAAGTACTTGTATATGATATTTTAAATAATTTGTATAAACATGATAAAAAAAATACATATTTATTATTTGATGCTTTAACACTATGTAGTGTAATAAATTTGAACACTTGGCATTCTTTCATCTTTACTTTAATTTAGTTGAAGGTTTGGGAAGAGTAGAAGGTTTAGGGAACCATTCAAATCCTGTGAATTCTTGTATCTTTTTCCTGTATTTGTTGTCTTGATGTTGGGTTGTATGCATTTTCTCTTCGTAGGACTAAGTTCTCCATTTCTGTTTCTGTAAAATTGTTTGATAATGCAAAACTGTGTCGTAAGTCTTCTTTGTTGTTTAAACACTAAAAATATGGGAAAAAGATACAAGAATGCACGGGATTTGAATGGTTTCCTAAACCTCCTACTCTTTCCCAAACCTTCAACTAAATTAAAATAAAGATGAAAGAATGCCAAGTGTTCGAATTTATTACACTACAGAGTGTTTAAGCAACAAAGAAGACTTACGACAAGGTTTCAGATTATTAAACATATTTATTATTACAATTTTAAATTAAAATATATTGAAAATACATCTGCAGGAAGCTTTTATATGCCATATTAAATTTTTAATGATAAACTTATTTTTTGACACTAGTTATTTGTTTAATTTGATATTAAAAGATTGAAAAATAATTATCTGTGGTTTTATAGGAAGTTGTATCAAATTTAACCTGTATTTTTAGGTTTTAATTTCCTTTTTAAGTTTTGAACTGTATATATAAATAACTAGCTTGTTACACCTAGCATCACCCAAGTTTATATACCCATTGCAGTAATTGTTACACCTGGCATTATTACTTGTAAATTTAAAAAAAAAAAAAAATGTATGCCATAAAATCCATTTTAAGAACATTATCAAACTGCCTATAAACTATATCCTTGTGAATAGTGAGTTTATAGAAAAATTATTAAAATTAGTTTGGTTTACACTATTTGGTTATGGCAATGCAACACATGGATAATCTGCTGAGGAGTTGCCTCACAAGAGGACTTTTGTGGGAAACTGGCTCCTATTTATGTGTTACTAATGTGAGGGAAACATTTAAAAACTCCATGTGGCCAGCCCATTGGAGATGCACAAGCCCACAACCAGTGTTCAGTGGTTTTATCTGCTTGGCCACTGGTGAGCACTTATTAGAATTAAAAAAGTACCATTCAGAAATGAAAAAACCCAAGCGCTGTTAGATGTGGAAAATTAAATACACACATAGTTTTTGCAGTGTAACATTTTTGACTCCATGCACATGAGTGCCCTGTGCTACCCATCACAGTAATGATACTTCACACTATATCATTGTCTACTTCACACTATATCATTGTCACAGTAATTAAGTGAATATATTATTTGTTTTTAAATTATATCCTTTTTTGTATGAATTATATTTAGTTTATTATTTTTAAAGATTTTTTTGCCAATAGATGGCTCTACATGTAAAGTCAGCAAATTGAACGTAGACAGAAATTAATTTAATTGATATATAGAAATTAAATCAATATTTTGTTAGATAATGTCATATAGTTATTTATATATATATATAACTGTATATAGTTTCAATTGTAAGCTGATTTGCATAAGCTGATATTGTAATTTTATTCTTAACATTACTTTCTGATAAAGTATATACTATATTCACCCAGGGCTATCAAGATAGATCACTGATTTCCACATTAAGAGGTGTGGGAAGCCTCCATAGCTTTTATTCTGACATGACCATTCAATTTGAAAGGAAGATTTTGGTAGAATTTCCCCTTCTACCTTACATATTCTTGGGTCTGCAGAAATGCAAGTATCCTAACTGAGAACAGCTTCATTTTCTCCCTCTTATCAAATTTGTAGGCGTTGAAAATTTTACAATTTTGTAAACCTATAAATTTGATTTTTTCACAAATTGCAAAGTTATAAGTGTAACTGTGTGTATGAATTTTTATCAACATACACCACATGGAGTACATAAAGTCAGCAACCATTTCATTTTACTTTTTGATAGTGCTCGTTTCTTTTAAATTTGTTTGCTTACCTATTGCTGTTATTATTGCAATATTTAGGAATGATTAAGATAAATGTACCTAGATCTAGATGATCTCTCCCTGAACTAGAAACCAGTGGCGAGTTGCTTAGTAGTGTCTTTTTGGAGTTTCTTTTATGTTTTACAGTGATTCAAAATTAGGTACAATACATATACGCATGCTATCTGCAATTCTTTTCTCATTATAGTAGTACTATTGCCACAATCTTTGTATCACTCACTCCTAATAGTAAAGTAAGATAATATAAACTTACTGGACATATATCGAGTAATCATCCCTCTCTAGAAATTTTACAAATTGCACACTGGACATGACATTCTCAGTTTATTGCATTCTCTTTTTCTGCACTTGAAATTTTAGTATAGTTTTGTTTTATGCAGAGGTTGCATGTCAGCAGGTATGATGTAAAAGAAACAGCATTTACTACCCTCCCATTATGGTTTTGATTTTGTTAGATAGTATTGAACATCTCAGTGGCAGTTTTACTTTTACACAACTTGCATACTGTACACATACAGCTTTTTTCTGCTTTCTTTGTGTCCTCATTCTTTCATTTCATCTTGATAATCTTTTCTGCAGAAAATTGCTTCTAAGTTTTTTTATCATTACTTTTACTCCATAATACATTTTATAATAAAAATAGCCAGCATGTGCATTAATAGTCATAATTACTCCTGTGCATCCAAGGATTAACCTAATTATTTGTCATCTATAAAAACACGAATTCATTCCTACTGTTGTAAGACAAGACCTTGATGTACATACTAGACTTAGTAAGTAAAATTTTATTATACAGATTCTGGTCTTGACATCTGTACAGGTTTGGACTTCAGTGCTGCAGCCTTGGCATCCCCTCATTAACTCTGAAAATATTGATATTTTGCCTTTTATAATTAATATTCATTTAAATCCTGATAGTGCACAGAAATATTGAAAACCTTTGAAATTTTATATAGGGCTTAATCATTAAATATTCTGTTATATATCAAGTTTAACTTAATATTTTGAATGAAAAATTTCAATAATTGCATAAAATAATTAAGAATTCTTAAACATATATACAGTATTTTCTTTCTTTAATTGTTTATTAATTTGGATTTGAAATAATCTAATTTTCTCCTAAGTCCATGCTTTAACAATTTTCATAAAATACAAAAATATTTTTTCTGTTTAGAATCTCCATCTAAATTCAAAGAGCATTTTATGTTTGAATCTTGATTTTTTTAGTGAATATACTGTATAGTCACTAAAAAGTTAAGAGCTGACTTTATAACTTGGATATTATATATTAATTATTCAACAGTTTAATTGTTTTAATGTTAGAATTGCTAAATATTTAGTAAAGATAAATATTTGAAACTTAAGACAATTCTTTTTACATATAACATAGTAAGAACATACAGTATTAAGAAATACATTAAGAACTAATGATTAAAGATATACAAAATAAATTTAGACAGATTTATATAAATGTCAAAAACTGAAATAGTCATAATTTTACAAATAATCATATAATACATTAAGAACTAATGATTAAAGATATTACAATAAAGATAAAGAATTTACAATAAAAATATATTATAAAAATTTAAATTTCTTATCCCAATAAAAGAAATAATATAGTATTACAGATGAACTGAAAAATAGTTAATTGTTTTTCTTTCAATATTTAATCATTAATTAAATTTCTACTTTTTATAACATCAATATACTGAATATCACTTTAAAGTAAAACAAAATTATGAATGGATTACATTACTTGTCATCTTGCAGATATTTGTGAGCAAATGCAAGTAAATCTGCAGCACGCCCACTTCCATCACAAATAACAACAGGAACTGGAGGAGAATCTGTAACATATTCTAAGACAGTTCGAATAGTATTCAGTCCACCTTCAACTATAACACATACTACTGGAATGCCACCACTTTCCATATTGCTACCTGAATTGACTAAGAAACAATTGACTCTCTTTGATTTATTAAAATATCAAATTATAAAATAATTAAATATAACTTACGAGCATAAATTTTTTGTTTTGCAATGTGTTTCTCCAATCTTTTTCGCAATGAAATTTCACCACCATATCTTCCAACTGTACCATTGTCTACCAATAGGAAATATGAGTGATTGCTATTCAATACAGCATATCGGCTCTTTGGAGAAGAAATACTGTAATATGGCACTACAACCTTAAAAATTTTTTTATATCAATATTTTAATATTTTGTTCTGACTAATCAAACTATTTTATACACTTTAATAAAAAAACCAATTATATAAAGTAAGAATCTCAACTTTCATACATTTTTTCTGAGTAATTGCTGATGATCTTGAATAATTCCCCAAGGAGCTATACCTATAGTTACCACACGACTTCTTAGACAAGGTGTCCGCTCATTAAGTAATGCATCTCCAACATGTCTCATTACACCTAAAATATATAAAGTATACTTCTGAACTGTTCAATAACTACATAAATTAAGTAAATTTACCAGTATTTGTCCCAGCTGTAAATATCCATGCTCTTGTTGTTTTTGCTGCTTTTACTAAACCTTTATGAAGTACTGATTTCAGTTTTGGCTGAAGCTGAAAGTTAGCTTTTCCTCCATGAACTGTAATAAGTAGTTTTGGCAATTGCAAATTCCATTGTTTAGTTAACAGTTTTAAAATAACTTCTGGTCTTGTATCATAACTTAGGCGAATGAACTGAAAAATATAACTTAATAAAATCATACTATTTTCAACATTTTATTTAATTATTAATATGAAAATCTTACTCGGGCTTTTAAAGGATGCTGGCTTCCTAAAAATTCAATTATGCCATAGGCATCAGTTGGGCTCAGTGCTGTGTGCCTGGATGAACTCCAATGTTCATCACCAGATGTTTGGGAAGAATCATCACTACAGAAATTTGGAGGTACTACTAAGGACGGCTGTGGTTGTAATGTCTGAACAATGTGTGTGGAAGCACTCCTGCCACATCCACATCTACAAAAACAAATTTCAAACTATTTTCTTACATCAATAATACTTTTTCTACAGAGTATTACAAATTAGAAATATCAGATAGCTTCAGTTATGACACCTTTCGTTTTTATACATATTTTTATAACTCAATTAAATTAACAGTTCCTAAATACAGTAATACCTTGACTTATACTACCTCGACTTAAGTGAACCCGGAGTTACGCAATTTTCAAATCTCATCGATTCGTCTTTTGTTTGAGCACCATGCAACTCTTGATTACTCACTCCCCCCACACTATTGTTCAGCTTACATGTTCGGACGTGTCGCACAGAATCGACACATAGCTACAATTTATTTTGTGTTATTTATTTCTGTATTTGTTATATCATCACATAGAGACTTGAGAGACTCTATGTGATGATTTCTTGTAACCGTGAACGAATCAAAAGATGAGATAAGATTAACGAGAACATTTATTATTACATACATCCGACTTGGATTTTACATAAATTGCGAAATTATACCCTGACTTACGCGGTTATCGCTCGGTCCCACCTATCGCGTAAGTTCAGGGTATTACTGTATTATAATTTAATTCTATGTTATATGAAATAACATTAGAAAAAGATTTAGATATGTTAATAATTCAATTAATACAATATTTTTCTTAACTATATTTTTATAACAATCAAATAAAAATACAGTACGGTAATTATATTAATTAATGGTCACTTCAGCATGCATTTGCCATTATGAGAAATTCAGGTTCAAATCTAGATTGAATTTTCTGGAATGAGTGATTTGGTCTGGATATATTGAACTTGACTGCTTATCATCTGTTTGCATCCCAATGCAAATCTAACTGATCCATGGGAAACAAATTAAAAGACCTTTTTAGAACCCATAGAACAGATTGCGATAACTTTATTTTTAATTTAATTTAGATATTCTTTCAAATGAAAGTATTGAAAATCTATAAAGGAACAATAAAATATTTCATACTAGTCATATATAATCTATCCACAAGTTTCAGAATGCTTTTTTGAATTCTGCCACACAAGGGTGTATGTCTCAGCAGCCATTAAGATACTGCTAGTTGTAAATGTAAGTCTGCAATTTTTAGTTTTTCATTGGTGACATGCCTTATAAAATCATATCAGGTTATCAGGTAGATATTGTGTAGTGGTTGGCTGCCATATAGCCAGAGAGTTCTGTATAAGTGGTTTGAAGCTGTATGTGATGTATTGTACATGAAAACATGATGTATCGAGATTGTCCATGTATTCAACCATTCCAGTTACATTCATTTCCACATGATGAAAATTTAAGAAGAGAATGAGTAACCAGCCATGCATGTGCATTCAACTAGATAAATAACTTTGCCATCATTAGACACACAAGTCCATACAGAATGATTACTTGCAGATAAGGTTTGTGATGGCTACACATTTGTCTTAAGGACACAAATGTTTTGTGACAATTTATTAATTAAAATTTCCTCACCTACTTTATCAATTAAAAGTAATTATAAGAGTCAAAACTCTTATAATTAAGCATTTCTTGGTAATCATAGGCAGATATTAATAAGAAATTCAAATATAGCTGAATATTCCAAAGGTGGCCATTCTCTCATGTCATTATTCCACAATTTTATAGTACTAATTTGTAAAAACAACTGTCCATCTGAGAACAAACTAGAAAATACAAGTTTGTAGTTTTAAGAAACTATGCAAAAATCCGAAAATTTTGCATTAAACTTAATTCTATGATATTCTATGAATGTTTTGGATTACTTTATAAATTAAATGGCAATATAAATATTTCTTGATAGATAATAACAGTGGAATATTAGTAAAATTACATAAGCCAATTTTGCCAATTTTTTATAGAAACAAAAAAATAAAAAAAAATAGGATTTAGGTTTTCTTAATTTTACTTTAAATTTTTATCAGTTTTAAAATATATTTCCTCATGATGCAAGTAGGTTTTTTCTTTACATTATAAAAAATTTAAACTTGTGTAAAAATGATTGAAAATACAGTACTCTCTTTATAATTTAAAATATAAAAACCCTTACAATTACTAACAAAGTGGGTGTTATGAATGAATTTTTGTTAGTAATTTCAAAATCAATTATATTCTCAATTCTGTAGTTCTGCAGTTCTTGCAGTATCTTAATATTGAAGTGACAGTGGCACCACAGTATGGGAAACACATGAACTTTCTCTGGAAACTTGTGGATATTATATTTTTATAGAAATGTTTTGTCAATAACAGATAATTATACATATGAATCATAAATTTTAATCAATTATAAAATATTTTAGTACACATTTTAAATATATTAAGAAAGCAATTTTTAAGTGGATTTATCAGAATTGTTATAATAATGTAAATGCCATAATCTTAAAAAAATCATCTTCTGGCCATATCTTAACACAAATTATTTAAAAATATATATTTTTAATTTTGATGCAGATAGGCATATTTTATGGTAAAAAATCTTCCAAAAAATTACATTAGAACTAATTTGAAATGTGTAAATTGAAATAATGAAACATTATTAAAATTATCTAGACATTAGTCTACTGAACCTTTTTATCTAATTTTTTGTTATAAAATTTATAAATTTTTTGAGTTCATAATCTATCTTTGTATTATCTTTTACAATCAGTTCTAAAAAATATATCAATAGAAATGTTTATCTTGGAAAATAAATAATTTTGAGAAAATTCATATAAACTTCATATTGATAAAACTTTATAATCTATGTGATATTTTATTAAATTAATAATATTCTATTAAAAAGATATTTTTAAAAAATATAATTAGAACAAAATTACTTTATTAGTACAGTATAAAGTAAGTAAACATAAATATATGTAATCATATCAGTATAATATAGAATACTGTATTATATATTTTATGCATTATAAAGTAGCTACTTATTATGAATAAAAATATTAAAACAGACATTAGTTATTAATAAATAAACATTTTACTAAAATAATACAAATCAATAATAAACTTGTACAGTAGAACCTCGAAAACTCGACCTAATGTGGACCGAAGGGTGGCCGAGTTTGTGAAAATGCCGAGTTATCGGGAATGGGGTTAAAAAAAATAAGTACGAGTATTTCCTCAGAAAATACTGTACTGTACTTGTACAGTATTTACTTGTACAGAATATAACAGAGAATAAACTGCCCAAATACCCTTAAACAAAGGAAAAGTACGTCCTTTATGAAGGCATAGAGCCACTACATGAAAATGAAAATTAATGAATACACTGTGTACAGTAATTTACCTGATAAGACAGACCTCAGAAAAATACTTTATGAGAGCTTTTATACTTTTATAAAGCTGTCTATAATGAAAATTAATTAACTAAGGATTTTTTCTCCCTGCCAAGGTGTGGACCAGTTATCCGGAGTGCTAAGTTATCGAGGGACGAGTTTTCGAGGTTCTACTGTATTCTTTTTTCTCTGCTTAATATAATTCACTTCACTTATCAAATGTAGTCTACTCTTTTAAATAAAAGAAATGGACATATATTGAGAATAAAATAAATTAATTTGAAAAGTAAATCTGGGGATATATACTGTATTTACTTTCATATAAGAAGAGGTTTTTATTCATTTATCACAGCTTCAAATTCCTAGGTTGTCTTATACATGCAAGCAAAAGATTCTTTGCATTTTCGCAAAAAATTTTGTGAACTGTGTATTTGCATTTTTTACCAGATGCTTAGGCCCTGTACACACTAGGCGTTTTTCAACGCGCGTTTTAAAGAACCAAGAGTTCTATGTAGCCGTACACACTCAAACGCCAAGCGCGCGTTAAACGCGCGTTTATAGATTTTTGTTAAAACGCACGTTTTGCGGGCACTTTATGGGCGCTTTGAGATATATGTGCTGCCTTATAGCGACGATGGAGGAGCACACACAATCAATTACTTTCTCGTCCATTTCCAAACTGAGCCAGTGCTAAACACCGAACTAACGCTCGTCGAACGCCGAGCTAACGCGCGTTAGCTCGGCGTTAAACGTGCGTTGAAAAACACCTAGTGTGTACAGGGCCTTACCCTCTTGTATTTAAAAAATAAGTATTTTATCTGGGTCATTTGAATCATTCTTGTATATTGTCAGCAGTAAAGATGAATAGCAATAGGAAAAGCAAAGCTTTTGAATTGAATTTCAGGTTGAAATTCCAAAATCACATGGGAGCATGATATAACTTTATAAGTTTTAATCCATTCCCATGTGAAAACAGATGATTATTCGGAAATCAGAATTCAGAGAAACTCATAAGTGTAATCGGCTGGGGAACCTTTTTTGCCAATTCTTAACATTGTCCAGCTTTACATGAACAAATTATATTGTTGATTTTACAAGATTTTTCCTTAAAGTTTAAAATGCCAGTAATTTTTGTGGGACAATGTGTGCATTTACATTCATTTGATATTTTACTTGTGATTAAGCGAAATAAAATTAGAATTGTATTAATAAATCTAATTTTCTTTATTTTGATCTTTAAAGTCACACCTTGTCTTAGATGTGAGGTTGTCTTATATGCGAGTAAATATGGTAGTCATATTTCTAACAATCTTCATGCAGAAAAATCAAGCAGATATCACAAAATAAAAAGCACAATATAAAAATGCCTATAAAATCACTATCAGCTATTGACTTATTTACATTTAATGTATATATACAATTCCTTGTGTATTGAACTTTTATAATAAAATTTAACACNTATTATTATTTATGATTCTATTTCTTCAATTACTCTGATTAATTTTTACATTTCATACATTTTTAATTTTTAATATTTACTGAGCTAATAGAAATATTTATTTATTTTTTAACTATACAAATAATGTAGGTAGAAGAAAAATTCTCCAAGAAAATCTCTGAAAATGAGAAAGTTAAATGAAAGACCAAGAAATTGGTCAAATATCATAGAATGATCAGCAAATGCAATAGATTGCAGGAAATGTGGACAGTTATTTCCACTAAGATAAATGAGAACTCGCTATACTCATTTGGGATAAATCATTAGGAACATCCTTAGTTTAATAGAAACGACGTATATATATATATATATATAATAAATGTGTTTAAAAAGAAATCCGATTCTTTTATAAAGTAAGTAAAAAATATAGATAAATTCATATATTACTTTATAAAGACAATTTCTTATATAGTTTTAATTTAAATACTGTAAATATATAGAGTACTTTAATTAAAGCAGTTGGATATATATTTGAAATTTTTTAATTTTAAAATTTAAGTTTCTCTTGACTGAATTCGATTTCGCTAAGAATTCATGCAATCATCATATACAGCTGATCTATTATATTCTTCTTCCCCTGGTTCATACGGAGATATACAGCTGATCTCTGAACGAATTTATTTATTAGCTCGATTTCCGGTTTCTTATAGGTCAATGCTAGTCACGTGATTTGACCCGTCTTCTCTCCGATTTGATTCGCCGCTCTTCTTTAAACTGACGACAATAATAGCTTTAAAATTTATTTGTAAATTCTATACGGAAGAATAGAAAGCTTAACTAATATTAAATAATATAAAAATTTTAACGGCAATATTATGTTTTACGATTAAATACAAAATAACTTATCTACTTATAATAAAATAATTACATTTGTAAAAAAAAAAAGTTTACCCAAGGAGATTATATATCTTCCTGTTACTGTTTCGTATTTTAAAAATAATATAAAAATTGAAATAAGAGAGAAAAATGCCTTGCAGAAATGCCGACATCTCCGCTCTACGACCAATCGAAAACAAATGCTTCCATCATACGGAACCTCTAGCGGATGAAAACCGACTGAAAATTTAAACGTTGACTCTGCATGCCTCCGTCTGATGAATGTTTCATATTATATATGTTATATGTTATTCTTGATACAATTCTAAAAGGAAATTAAATCATATTATTGTAGATTACTTGCTATTTGTTTTCAACGCATATTTATTGTTATATGTGGAATCTACATGGAAATACTACTGTAGATTGGAACATTTTTACTTTTAATTTAGAGAATATATCATAGCAAAATTTTATAACGAAAGAATTAAAAATAACTATTTATAATAAGATGAAGTATGAATAAATATATTTTCTGAAAATGAAAACATTTGAACAATTTCGATTTTTTTCGCTTTCTTTAGTTTTAGTGATATGGAATTTTATTGATACATTCTGTCCATTGCTTACGAGATAACGGAGAGGCGCTCGCATTCAGAAGTTTTCGCTTCGAAAAGAGGATCCTTTAGGGTCCATT